TCCCTCTTGCATCTTCCTCCCTCCCACCCTCCTTATCCCACCCCTCTAGGTGGTCACAAAGCACCGAGCTGATCTCCCTGTGCTATGTGGCTGCTTCCCACTAGCTATCTATTTTACAGTTGGTAGTGTATATTATGGCCATGCCACTCTCTCACTTCATGCTAGCTTACCCATCCCCCTCCCCCTGTCCTCAAGTCCATTCTCTACATCTCCGAATTTGTTCCTGTCCTGCCCCTAGGTTCTTCAGAACCATTTCTTTCCCCTTAGACTCTGTATATATGTGTTAGCATACGGTATTTGTTTTTCTCTTTCTGACTTACTTCACTCTGTATGACAGTCTCCAGGTCCATCCACTTTGCTACAAATGACTCAATTTCGTTTCTTTTTATGGCTGAGTAATATTCCATTGTATATATGTGCCACATCTTCTTTATCCATTCATCTGTCGATGGACACTTAGGCTGCTTCCATGTCCTGGCTATTGTAAATAGAGCTGCAGTGAACACTGTGGTACATGACTCTTTTGGAATTATGGTTTTCTCAGTGTATATGCCCAGTAGTGGGATTGCTGGGTCATACGGTAGTTCTATTTTTAGTTTTTTAAGGACCCTCCATACCGTTCTCCATAGTGGCTGTATCAATTTACATTCCCACCAACAGTGCAAGAGGGTTCCCTTTTCTCCACACCCTCTCCAACATTTATGGTTTGTAGATTTTTTGATGATGGCCATTCTGACTGGAGTGAGGTGATACCTCATTGTAGTTTTGTTTGCATTTATCTAATGATTAGGGATGTTGAGCATCCTTTCATGTGTTTGTTGGCAGTCTGTATATCTTCTTTGGAGAAATGTCTATTTAGGTCTTCTACCCAGTTTTGGATTGGGTTTTTTGTTTTTTTGATATTGAGCTGCATGAGCTGCTTGTATATTTTAGAGATTAATTCTTTGTCAGTTGCTTCATTTACAAATATTTTCTCCCATTCTGAGGGTTGTCTTTTCATCTTGTTTATGGTTTCCTTTGCTGTGCAGAAGCTTTTAAGTTTCATTAGGTCCCATTTGCTTATTTTTGCTTTTATTTCCATTTCTCTAGGAGGTGGGTCAAAAAGGATCTTGCTGTGATTTATGTGATACAGTGTCCTGCCTATGTTTTCCTCTAAGAGTTTTATACTGTCTGGCCTTACATTTACGTGTTTAATCCATTTTGAGTTTTAGTGTATGGTGTTAGGGAGTGTTCTAATTTCATTCTTTTACATGTAGCTGTCCAGTTTTCATAGCACCACTTATTGAAGAGGCTGTCTTTTCTCCACTGTATGTTCTTGCCTCCTTTATCAAAGATAAGGTGACCATATGTGCATGGGTTTATCTAGGTGCTTTCTATCCTGTTCCATTGATCTATATTTCTGTTTCTGTGCTAGTACCATACTGTCTTGATTACTGTAACTTTGTAGTATAGTCTGAAGTTAGGGAGTCTGATTCCTCCAGCTCCATTTTTCATTCTCAAGATTGCTTTGGCTATTCGGGGTCTTTTGTGTTTCCATACAAATTGTGAAATCTTTTGTTCTAGTTCTGTGAAAAATGCCATTGGTAGTTTGATAGGGATTGCATTGAATCTGCAGATTGCTTTGGGTAGTATAGTCATTTTCACAATGTTGATTCTTCCAATCCAAGAACATGGTATATCTCTCCATCTGTTTGTATCATCTTTAATTTCTTTCATCAGTGTCTTATAATTTTCTGCATACAGGTCTTTTGTCTCCCTAGCTAGGTTTATTCCTAGGTATTTTATTCTTTTTGTTGCAATGGTAAATGGGAGTGTTTCCTTAATTTCTCTTTCAGATTGTTCATCATTAGTATACAGGAATGCAAGAGATTTCCATGTATTAATTTTGTATCCTGCTACTTTACCAAATTCATTGATTAGTCCTAGTAGCTTTCTGGTACCATCTTTAGGATTCTCTATGTATAGTATCATGCCACCTGCAAACAGTGACAGTTTTACTTCTTCTTTTCCAATTTGGACTCCTTTTATTTCTTTTTATTCTTTGATTGCTGTGGCTAAAACTTCCAAAACTATGTTGAATAATAGTGGTGAGAGTGAGCAACCTTGTCTTATTCCTGAACTTAGTGGAAAAGGTTTCAGTTTTTCACCATTGAGAATGATGTTGGCTGTGGGTTTGTCATATATGGCCTTTATTATGTTGAGGTAAGTTCCCTCTATGCCTATTTTCTGGAGGGTTTTTATCATAAATGGATGTTGAATTTTGTCAAAAGCTTTTTCTGCATCTATTGAGATTATCATATGGTTTTTACCCTTCAATTTGTTAATATGGTGTATCACATTGATTGATTTGCATATATTGAAGAGTCCTTGCATTCCTGGGATAAACCTCACTTGATCATGGTGTATGATCCTTTTAATGTGCTGTTGGATTCTGTTTGCTAGTATTTTGTTGAGGATTTTTGCATCTATGTTCATCAGTGATATCGGCCTGTAGTTTTCTTTCTTTGTGACATCTTTGTCTGGTTTTGGCCTCAGGGTGATGGTGGCCTCGTAGAATGAGTTTGGGAGTGTTCCTCTCTCTGCTATATTTTGGAAGAGTGTGAGAAGGCTGAGACTGTCCTCAATTCTTTTCATTCTTTTTCCTTTATTCTGTTCTGCAGTAGTTATTTCCACTATTTTATATTCCAGGTCACTTACCTGTTCTTCTGCCTCAGTTATTCTGCTATTGATTCCTTCTAGAGAAGTTTTAATTTCATTTATTATGTTGTTCATCATTGTTTGCTCTTTAGTTCTTCTAGGTCCTTGTTAAATGTTTCTTGTATTTTCTCCATTCTATTTCCAAGATTTTGGATATCTTTACTATCATTACTCTGAATTCTTTTTCAGGTAGACTGCCTATTTCCTCTTCATTTGTTTGGTCTGGTGGGTTTTTACCTTGCTCCTTCATCTGCTGTGTATTTTTCTGTCTTCTCATTTTGCTTAACTTACTGTGTTTGGGGTCTCCTTTTTGCAGGCTGCAGGTTCGTAGTTCCCGTTGTTTTTGGTGTCTGTCCCCAGTGGCTAAAGTTGGTTCAGTGGGTTGTGTAGGCCTCCTGGTGGAGGGGACTAGTGCCTGTGTTCTGGTGTATGAGGCTGGATCTTGTCTTTCTGGCGGGCAGGACCATGTCCAGTGGTGTGTTTTGGGGTGTCTGTGAACTTATTATGATTTTAGGCAGCCTCTCTGCTAATGGGTGGGGTTGTGTTCCTGTCTTGCTAGTTTTTGGCATGGGGTGTCCAGCACTGGAGCTTGCTGGTTGCTGAGTGGAGCTGGGTCTTAGCGTTGAGACAAAGATCTCTAGGAGAGCTCTTGCTGATTGATATTACATGGGGCCGGGAGGTATCTGTTGGACCAATGTCCTGAACTCGGCTCTCCCACCTCAGAGGCTCAGGCCTGACACCTGGCCAGAGCACCAAGACCCTGTCAGCCACACAGCTCAGAAGAAAAGGGAGAAAAAAGAAAAAGAAAGAAAATAAATAAATAAAATATATAAAGTTATTAAAATAAAGTAATTAAAAAGAAAGAGGAATAGAGCAACCAAATCAACAAACAAATCTACCAATGATAATAAGTTCTAAATACTAAACTAAGATAAACATAAAACCAGAAACAAATTAGATGCAGAAAGCAAACCCCAAGTCTACAGGTGCTCCTAAAGTCCATCACCTCAATTTTGGGATGATTTTTTGTCTATGCAGTTATTCTAGAGATGCAGGGTACATCAAGTCAATTGTGGAGATTTAATCTGCTGCTCCTGAGGCTGCTGGGAGAGATTTCCCTTTCTCTTCTTTGTTCTCACAGCTCCTGGGGTTCAGCTTTGGATTTGGCCCTGCCTCTGCATGTAAGTTGCCTGAGGACGTCTGTTCTCCACTCAGACAGGACGGGGTTAAAGGAGCAGCTGCTTAGGGGACTCTGGCTCACTCAGGCTGGGGTGGGGGGAGGCGGGGAAGGGGTACTGAATGCAGGGCGAGTCTGCGGCGGCAGAGGCCAGCGTGACGTTGCAACAGCATAAGGTGCACCATGTGTTCTCCTGGGGAAGTTGTCCCTGGATCACAGGACCCTGGCAGTGGCGGGCTGCACAGGCTCCCGGGAGGGGAGGTATAGAAAGTGACCTGTGCTCGCACACAGGCTTCTTGGTGGCTGCAGCAGCAGCTTTAGCATTTTATGCCCGTGTCTGGTGTCCACGCTGATAGCCACGAATTGCGCCCGTCTCTGGAGCTCATTTAGGCAGTGCTCTGAATCCCCTCTCCTTGTGCACCCTGAAACAATGGTCTTTAGCCTCTTAGGCAGTTCTAGACTTTTTCCAGGACTCCCTCCTGGCTAGCTGTGGTGCACTAGCCCCCTTCAGGCTGTGTTCACTCAGCCAACCCCAGTCCGCTCCCTGGGATCTGACATCCGAAGCCCGAGCCTCAGCTTCCAGCTCCCATGGCGGGTGAACAGACAAGCCTCTCGGGCTGGTGAGTGCTGGTCGGCACTGATCCTCTGTGCGTGAATCTCTCTGCCTTGTCCTCTGCAACCGTGGCTGCGCTCTCCTCTGTGGCTCCGAAGGTTCCTCCCCCCCCCCCCCCCCCCCCCCCCCGTCTCCGCCGGTGAAGGGGTACCTCTACGTGTGGAACCTTTTCCTCCTTCACAGCTCCCTCCCAGACGTGCACGTCCTATCTCTATTCTTTTGTCTCTGTTTTTTCTCTTTCCTTTTGCCCTAACCAGGTACATGGGGAGTTTCTTGCCTTTGGGAAGTCTGAGGTCTTCTGCCAGCATTCAGTAGGTGTTCTGTAGGAGTTGTTCCACGTGTAGATGTACTTTTGATGTATTTGTGGGGAGGAAGGTGATCTCCATGTCTCCTCTGCCATCTTGAAGGTCCACCCCCCCGATAATGTATTTTATTATTAAACAATTTATTTGCTTTTTCTGGTCACTGGGTTTAATATTATGACTGAACAGAAATAATATATCTGAATTCCTAAAACAGTAGGCCAGTTTGTATTACATAGTTTAATTTGTGGAAGAGAATTACGTTTTACACTATAAATTTGATGTTATTTTGTATTTAAAAAATCTTTCTGGTATGTATTTCTTGCTTCTTGATATTTCTATATCTTTTATATTTAAAATATTTTTTCATATAAGAATTGTACATTCATTATAGAAAAATTAGAAAATATGGGTACACAAAACATTTTTAAAAAATCGTCTGCAGTGTCACCAGCCAGAAATAATGTGTTAACCTATTCTTTATAAACTTTCTGAAGCTTTGCTTCTATGTATACACACCTGTGAATGTATGTGTGTTTCTATTATAAAATAGAGTGTTATGTATATTGCTTTGAAGTCTTGTATTTTTAAAATCAACTCTGTAATAAAAATATTTCTATATGACTATATTTACTTCTTTACACTAATTTCTAATGGTTTCAAAGATTTCACTGTGTGAGTATACCATAATTTGTTGGATATTTGGGTCATTTTGTTGTTTTGATTTTTTTTTTTTTTAATAAGCAATGTGTCTCTCCAGGATTTTAATTAAAGGTACTCAGTATTTTTGTAGTAAAGAGACCTATTTAATCCATTGCTTCCCAAATACCCTTTCACTGTTCTGGCAAAATATTTTTCTGAAAACTAGTTTTAGTGATTCAGTGGATACAGGAAGTTGGCTGTTGGTATGAATATCCATGTACTGAATTTCTTAGATTTTTTTTTTTTTGAGTCATGAATGGCTGTTGACTTTTATCACCTGATGTATTGCATCTACTGAAATTTTATTATTTTGAATTTCTTCTAGCTTTATTGAAATGTGATTGACAATAAAAATTGTATATATTTAAGGTATACAATGTGATGTTTTGATATATATATGTAACATCTTGAATTTTTTTTTAATTTATTTATTTTATTTATTTATTTTTGGCTGCATTCGGTCCTCACTGCTCTGCACTGGCTCTCTCCATTTGCAGCGAGCGGGGGCCACTCCTCGCTGTGGTGCACAGGTCTCTCACCACAGTGGCCTCTCCTGTTGCAGAGCACGGGCTCCAGAGCGTGGGCTCGGCAGCTGTGGCACATGGGCCCAGCCGCTCCGTGGCACGTGGGATCCTCCCGGACCAGGGCCTGAACCCACGTCCCCTGCACTGGCAGGTGGATTCCCAATCACTGCACCACCAGGGAAGCCCCAACAGTTTGAATTTTTAATGCGATGATTTAGGTGAACAAACTTCCTAATATTAATCAATTGTTACATTTTTTAAAAATCTTAATTATGCAATTTTAATTAATTTGTATTTGCTAGTATTTTATTTAGGATTTTAGCATCTCTAGGTTGGCTCTGCAGTTTTCCTTTTTGTGTTGCCTTAATGAGGTTTTGCTATCAAGATAATTCTGGCTTGGTCCGATGAATGGAGACTATTAGCATCTGTTTCCATTATCTGCTATTTTTCCTTGAAGGGTATTCCTTGATAAAGTACTCCAGTTACATCATCTATCCTTACTATTTTTATTTAGGGAATACGTTTAGAGTATTTTTGTTAATGTCTTCCTTAGATATGTTTCTCTCCTGGTTTGTATCAATACAGGTAATTTATATTTGCTATAAAGTTATCCATTTTGTCAAGACTTTATAGTTATTTCTCTATATTTTGCCTAATTTTTATTTTGTATTCTCCTAAACATCTGTGTTTAGATCTTACTAACATTGTATTCCTGTATCTTTGCCTTTTGCTCTTGTTTAGGATTCTCTGCTCTTTGTTTAGCTTTTTGACTTTAAAATTTTTTGTTTTCCTCACTTTCCTTTGTCCATTTTTAAAAAGTAAATTTATGCATGTTTATGAAATTGAATAATCTAAAAGTCTAATAACAAGTTTAAAAACAAAAAACAAAACAGGTCCTTGCCCCACCCTTCTCAACCCATTTCTCACTCCCTCCACTTTTAAATCTTTTAGGTCTTTCTTCTGATATTTAGCTCCATATTTCAAAATAAATTGTGTATACTGCTATTTCTTGATTTTTCAGTTTGAGACATTATCTATAAATTCAAACTACCAAAGATGAGGTTGGGTAAACACAGAACATGCATTACATAAAGTCAAGATAATAGACACACAGATAGAATAACTCTAAACTACCACAGTACGTTAAGTTTTACCCTGATGTTATTTTTTCAGTTAGTGTGATGAGAATACAGAAGATCTCTATTAATGTACAAATGCATCATCTGGTAAACATTAGGGTGATCCAGAAGTTATTTTATTTTTAAATCCCTTCACTTAGATTACTTTATCAGGCAGGCACTGAGCTATATGGAATCCTAAAGAAGTGGGTGCATAGGATATGTAAATATTGATATGAACAAAAAGAAAATAGGTTCAGATTATGTGAACCTGTCCAGGGCTTGGTAAGGACAAAGGAGGGTGGGAAATTAGACATAGGAAGGAAGGCATCTTTCTTACTTTAAGGCAGACCAAAGACTACTTTTGACTGAATGAAATCTAAGCCTGAGGCATAAATCATGTTGCTTCCCTATTTGTCAAGCTAAAATGATACACAGACTGGTCCTCTTTTTTTGCCTTATTTTAAGCCTTACTTTGGATGCTACAAATGTATAAGAATCACAGTGTGATATAGGCATCTACCAGGGGCATCAATCTTTTCTATTCATTCTGCTAAGATAATAGATTTAAAGGATTTAAAGACTCAATTCTAATGAATCAATATTCAAACGGCTGAATTCCTCTTCTTCCTTTCCTGCTTGCTTCTAGTTTAAGCTGGCAAGACCACAAAGTTAGCAAAATTCTTCCTCGTTATTTATTCCAAAGGCAACATTTAAATTTATTCTTTGCTATAATGAGGCTTAAACTGGAGGGATTGAGAAAGAATGCTGGCTACAGAGTCCCAAGAGCAGGACTGCTTAATCAGATATCCTGGTCGATTTTAATTGAAAAACTTTGCCAACTTACTGTGGTAAAATGAGGGAACTTCACATCAAGTTATGTCTACAGAATTGTGATCTATTGTGAAATAAAAACATTATCTAATCAACTGCATGGGTTTGAATTAATTTTTTTTTTTTTTTTTTACTTTAAAAATCAACTTTGACAGATCAGAGTCAAGGAATGTTTTCATAATGGACACTTCATCCAAAGAAAATATCCAGTTATTCAGCAAAAATTCAATGCAACCTGTTGGGAGGCCTTCCTTTAAAACAGAATATCCCTCCTCAGAGGAGAAACAACCCTGCTGTGGTGAACTAAAGGTAACAAACAATTAAATGATAAACAACCATAAGTGGTTAACTAAAGAGATAAGAGAATTTGGTGGAGTCCATGCTCTCAGTTCTTGATCCAGTTATTTTCTACACACTATAGCTAGAGGTGAGAAATTTTTTCCACTTTAAAAAGTGACCTTAGATGCAATTTATGAAAACCACACTTTGCTGGGCAGTGAAAGCAATCTTTGCCTGACTATGTAGGTTAAATTACTAAATATTACTTTCCTGGCTCACTTGAATGCCCCTCCGAAACAGAAAGGAGAGAGGTAATGATATTCATTAAATATCTACCATGTACCAGATGTTATGCTATGCACAGTTGTAACATTTAATCTATGAAACATCCATATTATTCCCATTCTATAAATGAAAAATTTGACTTTCCTGGCCACAGAGTAAGGGACAGGGTTCCCTTTTAAATGGTGCTCAACGTGACTCCAAGTTCCTATACTTTCCTTGCATCAAATATTCACTCAACAAATACATACTTTTTTTTCATATAATCTGCCTTATGGATACTCCATCACAGACCCAGGTCTAGCAAAACACACAAGCCAGATATCAAAAAGAATATATTTTTTTCATTGAATAAGAATTTGAGTATGAATTTAACTTGAATATGAACTTAAACACAAAGAATAGTAGTTCTACTTTTTCAGTCTGTTACGTTCCCTGCTAGAACATTAACCATTGCTGTGAAATACACAATAATGAGTATTAGACCTGTGATAAGATGTTGAGTATTTGGTTGATGGTTTTTATTTTCTTACCTTTCAATGGCTCCTTCCTCTCTCTGCTTCCCCATGCAATGAATCTTCTTTTCAAAGCCAAGACATCTTTGAATGCCCTTTGGGGGAGAGGGGGAGAAAGGGTGGAATTCAACATACATTATGAATGGAAGTCTATTTGAATTTTTAGAACTCTACATGAGCTTGAGGTGGGAAGAAGCCTATTACTTTGCTTGAATGAAATCTTCAGTGGTAACAGGCTTGTTACCTGGTTTGTGGTTTGTGTTTCTGTCTCTCTGTTTAGTAAATTTCCAGTCATATGTCAGGCTGGAGTTAGACTAAGTGTGACCTGTCATATTTTTCAGGTGTTCTTGGGTGCCCTGTCTTTTGTTTACTTTGCCAAAGCACTGGCAGAAGGCTACCTGAAGAGCACCATCACTCAGATAGAGAGAAGGTTTGATATCCCTTCTTCACTGGTGGGAGTTATTGATGGTAGTTTTGAAATTGGTAGGTATTGCAGATGCCTGACTTTACTTTTTTTTTTTTTTTTGCGGTACGCGGGCCTCTCACTGTTGTGGCCTCTCCCGTTGCGGAGCACAGGCTTCGGACGCGCAGGCCCAGCGGCCATGGCTCACGGGCCCAGCCGCTCTGCGGCACGCGAGATCCTCCAGGACCGGGGCACGAACCTGTGTCCCCTGCATCGGCAGGCGGACTCTCAACCACTGTGCCACCAGGGAAGCCCTGACTTTACTTTTAAGTACAAGGTTTCTAGGCACGACTAAATGACATCCTCACTGCATTCTGCTGTCTGCTAGTATCAGACTCTATCTGTAAAATCTTATTTGGACAGAGTTTGCCATGGCCTTGTGCTACAGTATAGGCAATTTGTTCTCTCCGAGCAAACAGCAATTAACTTCCTGCCCCAGGTGTTCACTATTATATGACTCACACAAGTTTTCAAGCAGAGTGAGACTTCTCTAGGAGAGAGAGTGAGATGCAGCTGGTATTTTGAGTTAAAAGTATGCAGGAAATGTCCTTACAAAAGAGTTTTATATCCTGGAAGCCCTGTGATTCAAACTTTTCTAGAGCTTCAAAGAAGCTCTAGAAAAATATCTTGTAATGATTTAAGAAGAAGTTAAACTATAAAAGGGGTATTTCTGTCCCGTGGCCTAGAAAGAGGATAAAGGGATTCTATTAACAAAAACACTACAGCAAAACAGGCAATAAAAATTCTACTCTCCGGGTCCTTTGGTTATAGCCATTGACTGTACACTTTGAACTTGAAAAGACCAAGTGATTTTAGTCACTGTTTTGGAAGTACTTTAAAGAGTGTAATCCCACTTAGCTTCCTGAGTTGATAAACTAAGGGGCTTTGATTCCTTCCTGAAGTAAACAAAATTAATAGTCTCTGTGGTCCTTTCTGCTTGTTGAGACTCAAATATATGCTATAGTAAAATCTCTAATGGCTCCAGGTTCAGCTTCACTTAAACCTTCAGAAGAGTGAAGGAATATATTTCAACTCTTCAACAATTACTATTCTAGTTCTGTTGGGCTGCACCCGCAGGCCAGCAAGCCCTGTGCTTGTCCAGCTTCAAGACCGAAGAAAGAGCCCAGAGTTAGCGACAGAAACATCAGTGGTTTAACGGATAGGGGGAACTTACACGTCTGAAGCAAGGTCCTGGAGCAACAAGCCACCGTGTGCGGCTGACTGCAGGCAGGACATGGCGGCAGTCTTCTCTCCCAGGGAGGAGGGGGAGATTACGTAACAGTTATAGGGGGAATTGACTTCAGGTTGGCTCATTGGTTACCAGGGAAACCAGTAGGTGGCACGCCCCCTCACTGCTGCTTTGACAAGCTATCCTAGTGGAGGTGTTCTGATCTAAAATTAGAACAGTCACTAGCTGAAGGGGCAAATATACAGGAAGGTTGGTAGTGTGAGTAGCGTGTAGATGAAGCAGGCACTGGTTGAGCAGGGAATGTACATAGAGCAAAAGAGGAGCCATCTTGGGTGGCCTGATCATACACGTTCATACTGTATATATCAGTTCTTACCCTAAATATCAGAGAAAGAATTAAAAGAGTGAATAGGTAACCTTTTACCTTCAGGCTTTTACTTCCCAAATCCATCTTTCATCACCCTACCAGAAAAAGATTTCTTGGTTCAGTGCTAGTCAAACATTAATGTTCACGCAAATGACTGGACAATTGTGTTAAAATGCATAGACTGATTCTGTAGGAAGGGAAGTAAGATCCTGCATATCTAACAAGCTCCAATACGATGTTGATGCTATTCATCAATGGGCTGCACTTTGTGTAACAAGTTTCTAAAACACCTGATCATATCACTACCTTGTGTAAGCTAATTGGAGACACCTGGAGAGTTGATTCATTCCTTGATGACTGCCCTGCCTACAACCCTAAATGGAATGAAAGTCCATGGAGAGTCAAGGTAAGGGTAACACTGCATCAGAAGAAACAAGTATGAAGAGGAAGCTGGGTGCAGATCAAAAGAATAAATCAGACTTACAGAAAGAAGAAGAAATGAGCAGACAGAAAATTACATATGAAGTGATTCATTGATTATTGCTCACTCTAGATCATAGTATAAAAACATTTTGTAGCTGAAGAGACTTGGGAAGAATCTGGTCCAAATTTTTCTTAGATTCCCAGACCCCAATGCAAAACTTGAGAGGGTCTATATTTAATAGAGAGTACTAATGTTGCACAGGAAGTAAAAAAAGGGCCCTGAGTCTAAATTCATATTAATTCTTCCAGACCATTCTAAGGATAGAAATTGTTTATTGGATTAGATGCAATAAAAGTCCTCTGACTTCCATTGCAAAACTTTATCCCAAATATCACAGGTTTGCTCTAGTTATTTGCAATCCCTAGTTTTCCAGAAAAGTGGGTATCCTGACCATAATTTTAATTTACTCCTTTTGCCTCTCTTCATATTTCTTCCTTCCAGAGCTCTGGACCCATTCCCACCCTCTGTCTCTAGCTTTAAATTCTTCTATTTTTTGCAGAACAATTTCATTTATCCTTTGACATCAATTGGCATTATCATCTAACATCTGCCTACTGGATACTCAATTTCTTCCCAAGTATTTTCTTGTAACAAGGACTCTTTCTCCAAAAATGACAGAGAGTTTCCAAGAAAATAAAATGTTTTCTTATCAAGACCTACTAATATTTGCAGATATTAATTCTTTGTTTCAAATATTTTTCCATGTATTTTCTTCTAAATATTTAAAACTTTTGCCTTTTACATTTTAGTATTTAGTCAACTTGACATAGATGTTTTTAGATACACTGTGTTTTGTTTGTTTGTTTTATAAATTTATTTATTTTTGCTGTGTTGGGTCTTCGTTTCTGTGTGAGGGCTATCTCTAGTTGCGGCAAGCGGGGGCTACTCTTCATCGCGGTGCGCGGGCCTCTCACTATCGCGGCCTCTCCTATTGCCGAGCACAGGCTCCAGACGCGCAGGCTCAGTAGTTGTGGCTCACAGGCCTAGCCGCTCCGCGGCACGTGGGATCCTCCCAGACCAGGGCTCGAACCCGTGTCCCCTGCGTTAGCAGGCAGATTCTCAACCACTGCGCCACCAGGGAAGCCCAATACACTTTGTTTTTTAAGGCAGTTTGGGGTTCACAGCAAAAGTGAGCAGAACGTACAAAGATTTCCCATAAACCCCACACATGCACGGCCCCCCCCACATGCACGGCCTCCCCCATTATCAACATCCCTCACCACAGTGGTACATTCATTACAGTTGATGACCTACAGTGATACCTCATTATCATCCACAGTCCAGAGTTGACGTTAAGGCTCACTCTTGGTGTTGTATACTCTGTGGGATTGAACAAATGTGTAATGACATGTATCCACTATTATAGTATCATACAGAGCACTTTTAATGCCCTAAAAATCCTCTGTGCTCTGCCTATTTATCCATCCCTACCCCCTACCCCTTGGTAACCACTGATCTTTTTACTGTCTCCATAGTTTTGCCTGTTTCAGAATGTTATACAGTTGGAATCATACAGTATGTAGCCTTTTCAGATTGGCTTCTTTCACATGGCAATAAGCATTTAAGGTTCTTCCATGTCTTTTCATGACTGGATAACTCACTTCTTTTTAGCACTGAATAATAATCTATTTCTGAATGGACCTTAGTTTATTTATCTATTCATCTAGTGAACTTCTTGATTGCTTTCAAGTTTGGGCAATTATAAAGAAAGCTACTGTAAACATCTGTGTGTGCAGATTTTTGTGGGGACATAAATTTTCAACTCTTTTGGGTAAATACAAAGGAGCATAGTTGCTGGGTCTTATGGGAAGAATATGTTTAGTTTTGTAAGATACCACCAAATTGTCTTCCAAAGTGGCTGTACCATTTGGAATGAGAGTTCAACAATAAATGAGAGTTCTTGTTGCTCCACACCCTCAGCAGTATTTAATGTTTTGGATTTTGGCCATTCTAATAGATATGTAGTGGTGTTTCATTGTTTCTTAATTTGCAGTTTCCTGATGACATACGATGCTGAACATCTTTTTGTGTGTTTATTTGCCATCTGTGTACCTTCTTTGGTGATCTGTCCATCGAGGTATTTGGTCCATGTTTTAAACAGGTTGTTTGTATTCTTATTGTTGGGTTTTAAGAGTTCTTTGTGTATTTTGGATAACCGTCCTTTATCTGATATGGCTTTTGCAAATATTTTCTCTTGGTATGTGGTTTGTCTTTTAAGTCTCTTAACATCATCTTTCATAGAGCAGAAATTTTTAATTTTAATAAAGTCCAGCTTATCAATTTTTTCTTTCATGGATTGGGCTTTTGGTGTTGCATCTAAAAAGTCATCACCAAACCCACGGTCTTCTAGGTTTTCTCTTATGTTATCTTCTAGAAGTTTTATAGTTTTGCATTTTACATTTAGGTCTGTGATCCATTTTGAGTTTATTTTTGTGAAGACTGTAAAGTCTCTGTCTAGATTCAGTTTTGTTGTTTTTTTTTTGCATGTGGATGTCAAGTTCTTCCAGCACCATTTATTGAAAAGACTACCTTTGCTCTATTGTATTGCCTTTATTCCTTTCTCAAAGACCAGTTAACTGTATTTATGTAGTCTGTTTCTGGGCTATCTATTCTGTTCCATGTATCTATTTATCTATTCTTTCACCAGTGTCACACTGTCTTGATTACTGTGACTTTAGAGTATGTCTTGAAATTGGGTAGTGTCAGTCTTCCAACTCTTGTTTTTCTGCAATATCTTGTTGGCTATTCTGGGTATTTTATTTGTCCATAAAAACTTTAGAATCAGTTTGTCACTATCCACAAATAACTTGCTGTGATTTTGATTAAGATTGCATTGAATGCATAGATCAAGTAGGAAAGAAATGACATCTTGACAATACTGAGTCTTCCTATCCATGAACATAAGATATCTCTCCATTTATTGAGTTATTTGATTTCTTTAGTCAGAGTTTTATAGTTCTCTTCGTATAGATCTTGTACA